AAGGGAGACACCATCCCTGTCCAGATAAAGCTTTCCTTATTATGGGTGGTGCACACTAGTCTACAGAAGACACAGTACTTTGATGGGGGACATAGATATCCTATAAAAACACATAGATGGGGCTCAACCTTCTAATTACAGAACCTTCTAGGGCTTCCTAGAAGAAGTAACTTTTAAATAAAGTGTAAAGAATAAAGAACTAGTCAGCAAAGATGTCGGGTGGGATAGGGAAAGAGGGTAATGCACTTCAGGCACCACTAGTGGCATGCGAAAGCCCACAAAGCAAGGGAATGTGTGTGGTGAAAAAAACAAAAACAAAAAGAAAGCAGTGTGCCTGCAGAGGGGATCGTGTGTAGGAATATTTGAAGATTTCTTTTGCATTTTGCTTAACATTCATCAACAATCGGATTTAAACCTTGACGTATCTGTTGAGCAGATAATCCAAGCTTCCTTTCCAACAAAAGTCATCCTATCCTAATACCAAGCAAAGTATTAGAGGGCCAGTTAAACTGCACCCTTGCCAGCATCAGATGGTATCATCTAGGTTATTTTAATAGCAGGAGAATGAAAAAGATATTATTTATGTTTTAAGTATCGTTTCAAAATCTATGGAGTGAGTTGAGGGAAATCCTCAAGGGAAACTATTCAACAAGGTATCCCATAATTCTTTTCCTGAACACTGAAATTCCTATGGTTTCTCTCTCCTTTGGCTTCAAGTATTGAAAGCCCATGTTAATTTGTAAATTTGTTAGTGGAAAGGATCATGTATTCTATTCCTTTTGGCCATGAACACTTTATAATAAATTATCTTTTCATATTGATTAACAAAAGAGCTGTGTCCCTAAAGAATGTGTCACAGTAGAGTTAAATTTTGATTGTGACTATTTCAATAAAAACAGTTCCTAGTAAGGGTTTCTCTTTAGAAAAATGAAAACTTAAGTGTGGACCGTAGACTTGTAGAAGACTTGGAAAGCAGGAGTAGAGAGTGGAAAGAAGGTATTACCCCCAAACAATAATGAAATGGCTCCATATCATACCCTATTCACAAATTTTCCTCTTCTGAGCCCTGTCCACAATAGCCATTCAAGGGGAAACTGGAAAGTACTTTTGAAATGTAACTTCTTATAAACATCAGATGTGAGACCTTTTTTGTTACATGGCCAATTTTTCAATGTAATATAGACTAGAAGAATCATGGTTTCCTTTATACTCTTTGGCTATTAGGTCATACATTAGTAGGCACAACCTGTATCATAGGGAGTCATGAAGAGTTGAGCTAGGTGAGGAGGACAGTAATTAATGCAGTTGTTACCCCCAAAATTAGGTGGAGTAATTTAATTTTGATTTGGTTATAAAAATCATCATAACTAATATTCCCAGTCCTATCATATGACATTTGATAGTCACTGTTTAAGTAATCAAACAGTAATTCAGTGTTTAAATACTGTGGCAGTCATTTTACTGTTAAATTCTGATTCTCCTCCTTCTGGGCATATGGTAGTTATCTTCATTCCCTGTCCTCCTTAAGGCTGTACTTGCTTTGGCTAATGGAATGGGAAGAAAAGTGATGTGTGCCTTTTTCAGATGGGAGCAATAGCTGGTGGAAGATGGAATCAAACAGGCTTGATTTGAACCATATCCATACAATAGCCATTGGGGAATGTGGAATTGTGAGAACTATTGAATGAAGAATGAACTTCTATAATCATAACAAGAAGAAAATGGACAATTACAAATCAGTCTTTTTCTAGCCACATGTCACCTGTTTTGTGGAAAAGCTAGTAACCCTCAACTTCTTCCAAAGTAGTCCTGAAAGTTCGAGGAGACCCTTCCTGTGCTCTGCAGCCAAATCTTTTGGCTGCAGTGTGCCATCTGTGATCTTCTCTTTTGCTCCAAATCTCTATGGCAATGGCAGTGAACAAAGTAGTCACTCTTTTAACAATACACAGCCGAGGTGTTTCTACCACAATACAGCAATTGCTGAGCCAAGATGGCAGTGCCCTAAGCCAATGACAATGGCACCTAAACCAAATCTCTGACTGTTGCATTTAATACAAATGCCCCCTTACGTTGTCATGTAAGCTTGTAGCATCAATATAGCAATGCCATATACGCTCAAAAATCTTATTTGTATTAGTTTTTATTCATTTTTAAAATTACAATCCTCTTTGTCTCTGAGCTCAAATATGAGATCATGGTGGCTAGACCACAGTTACAGACATAAATGGGGCTATTCTCAGAATCATCCTTGCCCTCTGTCCTGGCAATGAGTACCCCAAATAAACCAATGCATCTAAAAGATTCCCTCTCTTCAGATAATTTCTCTTCTGGGAGTCTCCATAGGCCCTTTTGCACATAATGATTTAATAGACGCAGTCTATCCATCCTCCACGCTTGTCTTAGGGTGATCATTGGTTAGCCCCAAGTTGTGTACTCACCTACAAATACTTTTCAAGCTTGCTGAATTTCTTTGATCATATTAACAAGAATGTTGCGGATATAAGAAGATACTGAACTAGAATTGAATTAGAGTGAAATGGAGAAAAAGAAAATAATTACAGTACCTGGACACTTCCCATTCTCCTACTTTGCTGTTCTCAGTTGGTTGGTTTCCATCCCTCTTGATGCAAGATAGCTGACACAGCCCCATACCTACCTCCTTCTTCAATCCTATTCAAAGCAGGAAGCCGAAGGAAAGGACAGGAAGCAGCTTTCTCTTTGCACACCTCTGTCCAAATCAAGGGGGGAAATCCTTGCCAGAAGCCCTCTGACATCTTGCTACTCAAATTGTGGTCCTCAGACGACAGCATGGTCCATCGCCTAGGAACGTAAAATGCAGCATTCGAGGCCCTATCCTGATTACTGACTCAGATTCTGCATTTTAGCAAGATCCCCAGGTAATTTTCATACACAGTAAAGCTTGAGAAGTACTGCCCTTATAAACTTTTTCTAATGTCTTTTTAGCCAGAACTTGGTGACATAGCTATCCCCAGGTGGAAGGGAGGATGGGAAAGTAATCTTCCTTTTTTTAGCCTCTTTAGTGGGAAAGAGGAAAGAAAAAATGAGGCAGGGAATGACTGTTGGTGGAACAACTCCCAGGATCTGCCATAGTATTCCTCTGGAGAAAGGGTGGTGCAGAATGCCGTGCTCCCTGCTGTTCAGTGTTACCCACTGTGGCTCGCTGGGTTCATGTAACCTATGGAACCCTCCCAGAGAAGGAAGCACTGTCCTCATCAGTAGTATTTTTAACAGCAGGTTGAGACTTTACCTGTGTGATTTTGGAATGGTTTCTTGTTTTTATAATCTTGAGGTTTAAGAGTGCTGTCTAACCCAGGAGAATTCAAAGGAAAAATATTAAAGCTAGTATAATTAAAGGGAAGGTGAAAATTATAAAATAGCAGGTTTCTCTTCTGCTCTGGTTGGTATGCAACATTTTTTCACTGAAAGCCACTAATAAAATTTATTTTCATGTACATTTTTTTTCCTTGCTGTGCATTAGTTTTCTGGCCTTATTGAAAATTTGTTAAGAAAGTTGTTTATAAATATGAAATAACTGGCTTAGAGGTTTTTAGTTTAATTTTTTAAATGAGAATTATGTTGTTTCAATGTTGAGCCATTAATAAGCTAAGCTTTCTTAAGTATTTCATAAAGTAAAATTCTAACAGTTTTTCCAATCATACAAAGTAATAACACAAGGATAAAATGGCATATAGAAAAAATAATAATAAAGGAAAAATATGGGGGACCTCTCAATCATGGGACAAGGACCTTGTAAACTCCAATTTAAGCCAATTTTGGTTTGACCTCCTGGTGATTATGTGATGATTTATGTGTGGTAGTATAGAAATAACAGATGTCCTTTTTTGTCTCAAAATACCTCTACATATTTGTTTGAAGCCTCCTAAATCAGTGATCTTTCCCACTGGTTGTTTAAAGGACATTTTGAGAGTGGATTTGGGGCTACATTCCTATCCTTCCCAACCAAATCTTTATTTTGTTTAATTCTAGGGAAAATGTATGTTCCCAATGAACCCATCTTGCTATTACCTTACCTGTTTGATATGATAGAATAAATTGGGTGTAACTCCAGAGAAACAGAAATCTTTGCAGAAAAAAAACAAAAACAGAAGAATCTTCAACATAGAGATGGCTGTTTGATTTCGGAAATGCTGCAGACACACTCAAGAGCGTGTCTTTAAATCCAAAGTACAAATGAGTCAGTGGTCGTGTACAGATGAGCAAAGAGTTGGAGGGCAGGTCAGTCCTTACAACACTTGGCATGTTTTAGGTGCACATAGTTCTCATCAAGTTGGCTGAGAGGCCTCTACAGAGATCTCTTGGGAGACTGTGGTGCCCACTAAAACAACTGTGACTTTCAATAAAAATTTATGCCATGGATGCCAAAACAAACTTGTGAAAATTGTTCACTTTCAGGCAACCTGGACAAAATCCTTAGGAGGGCTGAAGTCACCATTTAAAAGGCTCCCTATAAGAGCCAAGAGAAATGTACCTTTGATTTATTCAAATACAGGTTCTAGTAAATGGCAAATCCACAATCAGCCAAATTTGCATTTCATACCTGGAGTCTGGATTTGGCTCAACCTAAACAGTGAGTCTCCTTGGTCCTTGCTCTCTGAGCTGCTAAATGGAGATTTCAGGAATGTGGTCAAACTAGATCTTAAATTTAAAGACTTGGTGATTAATTGGAGGTTTGGGGGAGGTCTTGTTTTCATTCCTTCAGATAGACCATATTCATTGAACCAAATTGAAAATAATATTTTCAACAAAGTAAAAAAGCAAGTTCAATTATGAAACTCAGGAAATATATTTTTTTCTTTTTTTTATTTGAATTTCAGATTCTCATCAAATGTGAGTTGTATTCAGTCTGCTTAGTAGTAAATCAGAATGTCACCACTTGACCTTGGCAAAGTTACCTGGTAATGAGGATGAAAGGTGTATGGAACAATTTGTGTCTGAATCACCAAGTTTTCCTTCAACAGGACAAATGTGTCATCTGTTTTGTCATGGCTGGTCTTGAGCAATAGAACCTGTGGTGGCCATAGAGAGGAATGGGAAGGGCACCAACCTGCAGGTCAGAAGGTGATATTCACACGCAAGTATACTTCTGTAAATGCATAGACTTCCTGGAAGAATGCACAAGAAACTGGTAACAGAGGTTGCTGCTGCAGTAGGTCCTGAAGTGGGAACCTGGTAAGTCTAGGGTGGGAAAAAAATTTATTCTTTGTGTATGCCCTTTTTTCATTTTTCAACTCTTCTGCATGTCTCTCTCTCTCCCTCCCCCCCCCCTCTCTATATATATATATATCTATCTCCCATTCAAGAAAATGAATAATGATATCAAAAGACAGAGTGAGAAAGAATACATGAGTGTATATATATATATATATATATATATATGTATTTGACTCCACATTAAACTGGATGGATCATTTTCTCCCTCTAGACCTTAGAAACCTGTTTTCTAAAATGAAGTGGCCTAGAGTTTAGAGTAGAGAAATAGCTAATATTTGTTAAATCAGGGACTCCACAATTATAGAAAATAAAAATTTTCATCTGAGTCTGATGTTGGAGAGATACAACATATATAGTTAATAATAACAATATGAACCAAAAACCATATCTTACTAGCCATAAAGTTCAAAATTCATTGTTTGTATATTGAGCAGCTGCCCTGAGAAGGAACATTCGGAAAGTAAGAGGGGAAGAGACAAGTTGCTTTTTATTGGGTGGAAGCTGTGGTAGACAGGAGAGCAAGGTGGCTAGCAGCCCAAAGGACAATACAAAACAGAGCACATTCATGGGCAGAATGGCTTAAGACTCTGTGTCTAACTGGGGTCATCGCTTCACAAGAGCCTCTGCCCGTCTTTGCTTTATCTGGGAACAAACTTGGGTGTGGCTGCCTTTGACCAGCCCAGTTGACCTTGTCTTAGCAGTTTCCTGTAACTGGGCTCTGTCCTCATACCTCAGTGTATGCACTTGCCCACAGTTCAGACATCTCCTAACTTTATTCTCACCCACTCTAATTCCATTATAGCTTTCACTGGGGAAGACAGCTCAGTTCTCTGTCCTTGCACTTTCTCTAGCTGGCTTTTGAGTTGCAGAAGTGATTTCACCCTTAGTCACGTAAGACTGAATGTCTGCCGCCTAGTTTGGAGCAGATAATGTGGAAAAGAGACTAAGCTTCAAAGCCCATCAGGCAGGGCCTACATTCACATTTCAAAGGTTTCCTCACTTGGCTGTAGAAATATAACTAAGCTGCTTAAAATCTCCATGCCTGCTGCTTCATTTGTAATGTAGTCCCTTAGTTATGTACCATGAGTCTGGAAAGAACTGTTAACACAAGCTATTCTGGAAAGACAGCATTCTCATTTGAACACTCGGAGAATCCAGAGCACAAGCCTCAACCATGGCACTGTCAACATTTTGAACCAGATAATTCTTTGCTGTGGAGGGCTGTTGTTGTGCGTTGTAGAATGTTTAGCAGCATCCCTAGCCTGTACCCACTAGATGCCAGTAGCACTTCCCCAAACCCGTATGTGACAACCAAAAATAACGTTAGACATTGCCAAATGTAATGTCTCTGAAGGTGGAGGGGGAAATCGCCACCAGTTGAAAACTACTGATTCAGAGGATGATCTTCCTATCAAGTTTCATTTTGGTTCGTACAGAGTCAGACTAGGGTGGGCATCTGGACAATACTGTCTCTTTTCTGATGTTCCTTACCTTGTGCCTTCAATCCAGCTTCATTAGGCAGCTCTCTAGGGCGACAGGAACATGGTTGTCCCAAGAGTTAAGGCTTTCAGAATTTAGGGAGAGCTTCTACAAGGCAAACAAACTTGGTCTTGCTGATGTTGACCAACTCTTAGGTAAAGCTTTCACATGTTATTACTGTAATCGAGTTTCTATCTCAGCAAAGCTCTGTAGGAAATCAGGGAGTGAGGAGACACAGAAAATTCCATAAAAAGGGAGAACTCAGTAGCAAACTGCCTGCCTCAAGAACTGGCAAACTACAAGAGTAATCTCTCTCCTTTCTTTCTAGGTCTCAGAATACAGCGCTCCCTGCCAACCAGCTGCCATCTCTCCCCACCCAGTCAGTCTGGTGATCAACAGCATCCACGTCAGGAACTGCAGGCTGTGCCTTAGGTTTTGAACTCTTCTTGGATGGATATTTATATTTATCAGGTCTTGAAGTCAAGCCGAGGAATTTGTACTCTCAATGGGATGGTTAAGAGAGAAGAACATTTGTAATAGGTGGGAGGGTGACTGTGTTAGATGCATCAGAGTCATTTTGGGTAATGGGAACTGAGAAATACTCCAGGATGAGTTGATCAGAATGGCACTCATGATGTTCTAGGATGATGCTTCAGTGAGAGAAGAGGATAGGAACCAGAAGATAGGCAAAGAGAATGTTTAAAATGAAGGGAGATATGAGGAGAATGGGGGCAGTGGCTTAGACTCCTCTTTATGAAGAAGATGGTGGGTGCACACAGCATATACAGGTTGTTTTTAAGACAGAGGACACCTGAGACTCTGATGGTTGGGGGGAAGAAGCCATTAGAATAGAAGAGGTGCTAGAGAGGAGGGACCAACCAAGGAAGCAAAATACCAGAGAAGAAACATCCCTCCCCTTGAGACTTGTGGAAAGAAGTAGAATAAGAGGAAATTCCCTTATAATTTACTGTTTTCAATTAAAAAGTTGAAATGCCCTTCATAAAATGCACATGAGAAAGTAAAATATGAGACTGTTATCAGCCAGGAACACTCTAATTTAAACCAGCTTGAGAAATCTGTGGGTAATAAACTCGTGATTAAGTATTTATTAAACTTTTATTGTTCACATGCCCTAAGCGTTTGGACTTCTGCCAATACTCTGAAAAGAAAGACAAAATTATTTCAAAATGTTTACATTATATTAAATAGAAAACTTTGAGTATTAATCTGGACTTAACATCTTGTAACTTTTAGTCATCTTCAACCAAGCTGGTCGCTATTATCTCTTACAACGAAAAAGGTGTGTGCCCAATTAAGTGGTTGAATATTGACTAAGCACCTACGACTTACAAGTACTAGTGTTCAGTCCTGGTTTAGTGGCTGTCAGAAAAATGGTGGAGGAACAGGGTGGAGAGCTGTGCCAGGATGGCCTGGAGAGCCAGAAATGTGATGAGCTGTCCAGACGCACAGCAAATATTTAAAGCCTAGAATCTCAGGCCCTTGAAACAGGAGGTTTTATAGCACAGTATATACAAAATATTTTATTATCAGTGGAGTAGTGGATATAATACTGAAGAAACATCCTCTGTTCGTAGGAAGGGAGATCAAAAGAAAGAAATCCTTCTCTTTGGCAATGTTTTCGTTGTGCCAAAGATAAAGCAAGGGAGTCCTTTGACGAACTTTTTATTGGAGTCTGAGTTTAAATATGTGGCACATAAACAAATAACAATCTCCTCAGCTTAGACTCCTCATCAGTTTAAAATAGACCAATAATATCTTCTTGCCTGAAGACGGTTGGCTGGGCTGGATGCTATTTTTAAAGTCCACTTGAGCGCCAAGATTTCTATTTCTATGATAAAACCAGTCTGATGCATAGAAAATATAATGCATTTATTGTTCCTTTTCTTTTTTTTCTTTTTTTTTTTTTTTTTGTGGTACGCGGGCCTCTCACTGTTGTGGCCTCTCCCGTTGCGGAGCACGGGCTCCGGACGCGCATTGCCAGTGGCCATGGCTCACGGGCCCAGCCGCTCCACGTCATGTGGGATCTTCCCGGATCGGTGCACGAACCCGTGTCCCCTGCATCGGCAGGCGGACTCTCAACCACTGCGCCACCAGTGGTTGATGGGTTGATTGCGCCCAATATTGTTCCTTTTCAAACAAATCCATTTTTCTCTTGAACACAGTTAGGGACAATTTACCGTGCTTTTTTGTTTTGGCAATTTAGGAAGGGTTTCCATGGTCTCTGTGGCCTCTTGCTCAGTTTTTCTGTGCATCAGCTTGACCATAAGATTATCTGAGGCCAACATTGTCACCTCTTTGGATGTATGTTTGCTGGCATGCATTCCCCCTGGGGGCAGTAAAAATTGGTTTTGGGGGTGATGTAATCTTAGATAATATATTGGTTTGTAGGCCACCAAAGGGCCACAATACATAAACAGATACAAGGTATATCTGTGGTAATTAAATTTCATGGTGATGGTGGCGGGGAGAATTAGGGGAAAAAATGTAAAAATACTCAGAGGGGAAGCAATAATAAAATAAATGGAGAAACACTGACCTGGGCAAAGAGTCCTGAGGGAGGGTAGGGGTGTAAGATCTTTTGGGTAGGACTTTAACCCATCAAATACAACAGTTTTTTTTTTTTTTTTTTTAAGTTTTAGAAGCCTATATTTAAAGTATATCTTCCGCCTTTCTTTCTAATCGACTACAGGACACACTTTGCAATGTTTTAAATTTAGACATTTTCAAATTTACTTTCTGTAAAGACCTTTCTTGTGACAAAAGGCATATCTTGAAAAACGACTGTCTCTTTTCAGGTCAGACTGTTCTGTGTGGCAGTCTGGAAGAGAGGTCTTGCAGGAGACAGTAGAAGGAGAGTCGTTGAGCACGCGAAAGACATACGTTTCAATCCCAGATTTGCTTCGGATGAGCCTTGCAATTAGGGGCAAGCCGAGTAAAGCCGCGGAGCCCCTGTTTCCTCATTTGTAAAACAAGTCTGCTAATGCTTCCTGTGGCAGGGTTCTAAAGGATTTGAGACAACTGATGTCAGGTGGCTGGTGCTGGCTGTTTCTGAGTTAGGTGGTAAGGCCAATAGGTAGCAGAGGCCAATAACTGGGTAGAAGAGGACAAGATGCCCAGTGGACCTATTTTGCCAAATTCTGCAAACATCCTATTGGAGTTCCTGCTGCTGCTGTTAAAAAAACAAAACTGTGCCCCTGCACAGTTTAAATAAATTCAAAAGGACTATCAGTAACTTTCAGAGTAAGATTTGGGCTTTGCATCAATGAAGAGACATCAGGACAATCAGAGATACCATCAAGGAGCAGCACTTTGCCTGCTCCATAAAATCACCATGATTTAGTCCTTTAATGAAAAAAGGGGCTTGTGCAGGCACAACAGCTGTGGTTTTATGAGGGGAAAATAAGCCAGAATTCCTTGTGGTGGGGCTGTTGCCACAAGGGGTCAGATCTGGATTTTTGGTGGAGGCTGGCATATCCTACAGTGACAAAAACATGATTGGAAGTCAAATAGCTTGAAATAACTTGCTTGTTTTAGGGGAGAATAGCTCAAGCAATACCAAACCTGACTAGCTCTGTTTAAGTAAGGACTTCAGTGTTTTTGATCTGAGGTTGAGTTGAGTGTCTGGAGTGGGAACAGAAGAAGGAATACCATTATCTTTAAGCTTGCCCTGGTTGCTGGTTGCCCACTTAGCACATGTGAGCAGTTTAACTGTCACCATGCATAAGGGCTTCTTTTTCCCCCAAGGTTATAAACAGAGATGCATAAATATTTTGGATCCATCAGCCTCCAAGTATTCTTCAGATGTTTTGAGTTCAACAAAACAGAATACACTGTGCTGAGTACATTCTCCCTTGCTTTTTGAGGATCACGTGTGATTTATAGGAAATGGAATCCATATGTTTCTGCTTCATTTACACTTAACTCATCAAAAGATTGTGTTGTAAAGCTATGTGATGTCCAAGATGGCTTTTTGAGCTTGGTGGTTTCTTTTTTTTAAATAAGCTGCTTAAAAGTTTTTGTTCCTTTAAAAGTTAGAGAGAGAGAGAGAAGAGAAAGATACCTAGGAAGGCCTGTTTTGCCAAGATGAAATAGATTTGAACACCAGGAAGTTCAGTTTAAGCTGAAACTACAAACCAAAGAATTTCAAATGGGTCCAGAATTTGGAAGAAAACAAAGGTTCCTCTCCAGTCACTTTCCGAAGCATCTCCGATGAATGCAGAAAAGCAGCTGGCCACTCAGCAACCCCACTAAGGGAAGAGAGGGCTGTGAATGCACCATTAGTGACCCAGCTAACACATGTGCCCACTGCTGGAAGAGCTGTTATTCTCAGGCCTCCTGAGACCAGTCACTCTAGTCCAGATAAAGAACTTTTTGCCCTATTTTAGCATGGAAATATCTGCTCTCCTGGTGTTTTCCCGGGATTGTCCTGTCCTAGGCCAGCATTTCCTATTTGTTCTTCTGCCATCTGGCCCAAATAGCTGGCCACTAGACTGAATACTGTGTGTGCATTTGGGATGGTGTTTATTTATTGGACAACTTCTTTAGAGAAATATCTTGTTTAGCTCACAATAGAGCCAAGAAAGCATGCAGTTTGTATAAAGTAAGAAATATGTTAACGAGGGACCCACAAGTTTGTAAGAAGCCAAATGTAAAACTAAGTTTTCTTTCGCCATCTCAATATTTAGTCACTCTCATAGCAGCTCTTTAATCATTTTAGACATGCTTTATCATCAATATATGGCATCTTATGAAAGTTTTCAGGAGAAAAGCACCCAAATTGGAACTATTTAATGTGATAGTATAATTGAGATAACTATAAATCTCTGTAGAGGACTTATCTGCTCATCTCTAGAACAATATATAGTGTTCGATGTGAAACTTCATTATCCAGTGAGGTCTTTTAGATTGTGTGGTCTGAAGTCATTTCAACAGAATTAATAGTCCTGTGAATTACTTATACATACCAATTCAGTTATCTGGGGGTGAGGGGCAGGATTTTGGAATCTTTTCTTTTTTATGTGCAGTTTATTTTTATATATTTATTTATTGGCTGCGTTGGGTCTTTGTTGCTGCGTGTGGGCTTTCTCTACTTGCAGCAAGCGGGGGCTACTCTTTGTTGTGGTGCACAGGTTTCTCATTCTGGTGGCTTCTCTTGCGGAGCACCGGCTCTAGGCGTGTGGGCTTCAGTAGTAGTGGCACGCAGCCTTCAGTAGTTGCAGCACACGGGCTCTAGACTACAGGCTCAGTAGTTGTGGTGCATGGCCTTAGTTGCTCCGCTCCACATTTGGGATCTTCCCAGACAAGGGATCGAACCCATGTCCCCTGCGTTGGCAGGCGTATTCTTTTTTTTTTTTTTTAACATCTTTATTGGAGTATAATTGCTTTACAATGTTGTGTTAGTTTCTGCTGTATAACAGAGTGAATCAGCTATATGTATACATATATCCCCGTATACCCACCCTTTTGCGTCTCTGCCCACCCTCCGTATCCTACCCCTCTAGGTGGTCGCAAAGTACCGAGCTGATCTCCCTGTGCTATGCAGCTGCTTCCCCCTAGCTATCTATTTTACATTTGGTAGTATATATATGTAGTGTTATTCTCTCACTTCATCCCAGCTTACACTTTCCCCTCCCTGTGTCCTCAAGTCCATTCTCTACATCTGTGTCTTTATTCCTGTCCTGCCCCTAGGTTCATCAGAACCATTTTTTTTTTAGATTCCATATATATGTGTTAGCATACGGTATTTGTTTTTCTCTTTCTGACTTACTTCACTCTATATGACAGTCCCTAGGTTGATCAACTTCACTAAAAATAACTCAATTTTGTTTCTTTTTATGGCTGAGTGATATTCCATTGTATATATGTGCCACATCTTCTTTATCCATTCATCTGTCAGTGGACACTTGGGTTGCTTCCATATCCTGGCCATTGTAAATAAAGATGCAGTGAATATTATGGTACATGACTCTTTTTGAATTATGGTTTTCTCAGGGTATATGCCCAGTAATGGGATTGCTGGGTCGTATAGTAGTTTTATTTTTAGTTTTTTAAGGAACCTCCATACTGTTCTCCATAGCGGCTATATCAGTTTACATTCCCACCACCAGTGCAAGAGGGTTCCCTTTTCTCCACACCCTCTCCAGCATTTATTGTTTCTAGATTTTTTGATGATGGCCATTCTGACTGGTGTGAGGTGATACTGTATTGTAGTTTGTTGTTTTGTTTGTTTGTTTGTTTGTTTTGCAGTACGCGGGCCTCTCACTGTTGTGGCCTCTCTCTTTGCAGAGCAGAGACTCCGGACGTGCAGGCCATGGCTCACGGGCCCAGCCGCTCCGCGGCACGTGCGATCCTCCTGGACCGGGGCACGAACCCGTGTCCCCAGCATGAGCAGGCGGACCCTAAACCACTGCACCATCAGGGAAGCCCCTGTATTGTAGTTTTGATTTGCATTTCTCTAATGATTAGTGATGTTGAGCATCCTATCATGTGTTTGTTGGCAATCTGTATATCTTCTTTGGAGAAATGTCTATTTAGGTCTTCTGCCCATTTGTGGATTGGGTTGTTGGTTTTTTTGATATTGAGCTGCATGAGCTACCTGTATATTTTGGATATTAATCCTTTGTCAGTTGCTTTGTTTGCAAATACTTTCTCCCATTCTGAGGGTTGTCTTTTCGTCTAGTTTATGGTTTCCTTTGCTGTGCAAAAGCTTTTAAGTTTCATTAGGTCCCATTTGTTTATTTTTGTTTTTATTTCCATTACTCTATGAGGTGGGTCAAAAAGGATCTTGCTGTGATTTATGTCATAGGTGTTCTGCCTATGTTTTCGTCTAAGAGTTTTATAGTGTCTGGCCTTACATTTAGGTCTTTAATCCATTTTGAGTTTATTTTCATGTACAGTGTTAGGAAGTTTTATAATTTCATTCTTTTACATGTAGCTGTCCAGTTTTCCCAACACCATTTATTGAAGAGGCTGTCTTTTCTCCATTGTATACGCTTGCCTCCTTTATCAAAGATAAGGTGACCATATGTGCTTGGGTTTATCTCTGAGCTTTCTATCCTGTTCCATTGATCTATATTTCTGTTTTTGTGCCAGTACATGCTGTCTTGATTACTGTAGCTTTGCAGCATAGTCTGAAGTCCAGGAACCTGATTCCTCCAGCTCCATTTTTCTTTCTCAAGATTGCTTTGGCTATTCAGGGTCTTTTGTGTTTCCATACAAATTGTGAAATTTTTTGTTCTAGTTCTGTGAAAAAGCCATTGGTAGTTTCACAGGGATTGCATTGAATCTATAGATTGCTTTGGGTAGTATAGTCATTTTCACAATGTTGATTCTTCCAATCCAAGAACATGATATATCTCTCTATCTGTTTGTATCATCTTTAATTTCTTCAACAGTGTCTTATAGTTTTCTGCATACAGGTCTTTCATCTCCTTAGGCTTATTCCTAGGTATTTTATTCTTTTTGTTGTAATGGTAAATGGGAATGTTTCCTTAATTTCTCTTTCAGATTATTCATCATTAGTGTATGGGCCTGCAAGAGATTTCTGTGCATTAATTTATATCCTGCTACTATACCAAATTCATTGATTAGCTTCAGTAGTTTTCTAGTAGCAACCTTAGGATTCTCTATGCAGAGTATCATGTCATCTGCAAACTGTGACAGTTTTACTTCTTCTTTTCCAATTTGGATTCCTTTTTTTCTTTTTCTTCTCTGATTGCTGTGGCTAAAACTTCCAAAACTATGTTGAATAATAGTGGTGAGAGTGTGCAACCTTGTCCTGTTCCTGATCTTAGAGGAAATGGTTTCAGTTTTTCACCATTGAGAACGATGTTGGCTGTGGGTTTGTCATACATGGCCTTTATTATGTTGAGGTAGGTTCCCTCTATGCCTACTTTCTGGAGAGTCTTTATCATAAATGGGTGTTGAATTTTGTTGAATGCTTTGTCTGCATCTACTTAGATGATCTTATGGATTTTATTCTTCTGTTTGCTAACATGGTGAATCACACTGATTGATTTGCATATATTGAAGAATCCTTGCATTCCTGGGATAAATCCCACTTGGTCATGGATTATGATCCTTTTAATGTTTTGTTGGATTCTGTTTGCTAGTATTTTGTTGAAGATTTTTGCATCTATGTTCATCAGAGATATTGGCCTATAGTTTTCTTTTTTTGTGACATCTTTGTGTGGTTTGGTATCAGGGTGATGGTGGCCTCGTAGAATGAGTTTGGGAGTGTTCCTTTATCTTCAATTTTTTGGGAAGAGTTTGAGAAGGATGGGTGTTAGCTCTTCTCTAAATGTTTGTTAGAATTTGCCTGTGAAGCCATCTGGTCCTGGGCTTTTGTTGTTGGAAGATTTTTAATCACAGTTTCAATTTCAGTGCTTGTGATTGGTCTGTTCATATTTTCTATTTCTTCCTGGTTCAGTCTCAGAAAGTTGTGCTTTTCTCAGAATTTGTCCATTTCTTCCAGGTTGTCCATTTTATTGGCATACAGTTGCTTGTAGTAATCTTTCATGATCCTTTGTATTTCTGCAGTGTCAGTTGTTACTTTTCCTTTTTCATTTCTAGTTCTGTTGATTTGAGTCTTCCCCCTTTTTTTCTTGATGAGTCTGGCTAATGGTTTATCCATTTTATTTATCTTCCCTAAGAACCAGCTTTTAGTTTTGTTGATCTTTGCTATTGTTTCCTTCATTTCTTCTTCATTTATTTGTGATCTGATCTTTATGATTTCTTTCCTTCTGCTAACTTTAAGGTTTTTTTTTCTTCTTTCTCTAATTGCTTTAGGTGTAGACTTAGGTTGTTTATTTGAGATTTTTCTTGTTTCTTGTGGTAGGATCATATTGCTGCTAACTTCCCGCTTAGAACAGCTTTTGCTGCATCCCATAGGTTTTGGGTCATCGTGTTTTCATTGTCATTTGTTTCTACGTATTTTTTGATTTCCTCTCTTATTTCTGCAGTGATCTCTTGGTTATTTAGGTGTGTATTGTTTAGCTTCCATGTGTTTGTATTTTTTACAGTTTTTTTCCTGTAATTGATTTCCAATCTCACAGCATTGTGGTCAGAAAAGATATTTAATATGATTTCAATTTTCTTAAATTTACCAAGGTTTTGTGACCCATGATATGGTCTATCCTGGAGAATATTCCATGAGCACTTGAGAAGAAAGTGTATTCTGTTGTTTTTAGATAGAATGTCCTATAAATATCAATTAAGTCCATCTTGTTTAATGTGTCATTTAAAGCTTGTGTTTCCTTATTTATTTTCATTTTGGATGATCTGTACATTGGTGAAAGTGGGGTGTTGAAATCCCCTACTATGATTGTGTTATTGTCGATTTCCTCTTTTATGGCTGTTAACATTTGCCTTATATATTGAAGTGCTCCTATGTTGGGTGCATAAATATTTACAATTGTTATATCTTCTACTTGGATTGATCCCTTGATCATTATGTAGTGTCCTTCTTTGTCTCTTGTAGTAGTCTTTATTTTAAAGTCTATTTTGTCTGATATGAGAATTGCTATTCCAACTTTCTTTTGATTTCCATTTGCATGGAATATCTTTTTCCGTCCCCTCACTTTCAGTCTGTATGTGTCCCTAGGTCTGAAGTGGGTCTCTTGTAGACAGCCTATATACAGATCTTGTTTTTGTAACCATTCAGCCATTCTATGTCTTTTGGCGGGAGCATTTAATCCATTTGCATTTAAGGTAATTATTGAATGTATGTTCTTATTACCATTTTCTTAATTGTTTGGGGTTTGTTTTTGTAGGTCTTTTCCTTCTTTTGTGTTTCCCGTCTAGTGAAGTTCCTTTAGCATTTGTTGTAGAACTGGTTTGGTAGTGCTGAATTCTCTTAACTTTTGCTTGTCTGTAACGGTTTTAATTTCTCCATCGAATCTGAATGACATCCTTGCTGGGTAGAGTAATCTTGGTTGTAGGTTTTTCCCTCTCATCACTTTAAATATGTCCTGCTACTCCCTTCTGGCTTGCAGTGTTTCTGCTGAAAGATCAGCTGTTAACCTTATGGAGATTCCCTTTTATGTTATTTGTTGCTTTTCCCTTGCTGCTTTTAATGTTTTTCCTTGTATTTAATTTTTGATAGTTTGATTAATATGTGTCTTGGCATGTTTCTCTTTGGGTTTATCCTGCATGGTACCCTCAGCCCTTCCTGGACTTGACTGACTGTTTCCTTTAGGGACGTTTTCGACTATAATCTCTCCAGATATTTTCTCAGACCCTTTCTTTTTCTCTTCTTCTTCTGGGACCCCTATAATTAGAATGTTGGTGCATATAATGTTGTCACAGAGGTCTCTGAGACTGTTCTCAATTCTTTTCATTCTTTTTTCTTTATTCTGGCAGGCCGATTCTTAACCACTGTGCCACCAGGGAAGTCCAGGATTTTGGAATCTTGAAATTTAGAGTTATTTCCCCTAATTCCTAGCCCTAAAGAACATGTAATAAAATGTTTCTTAATTTCATCATCCAGTGCTAACTGCTGTTAACATTTTAGTGTATGTTCTTTCAGCTCATGCATGTGGGCATGTGCTTGCATACACAGACACACACACGCACATTTTAATGAGATCATATTATTTATTCTGCTTTGTAGCTTCTCTTTTTCGTTTAGAAATATATTATGGACTTTTTCCTATGTTAATAAACTTTTCTACCTCATCAGGTTTAATACAGAGTTTTAAAAATAATGTTTTTAGGATTGTACTATGATTAGCTTAATATCTCAGAGTCTTTTTATATGTAGGGTTTTAAAAAATCTTTATTTTAGATACATTTTTAAATGTTGACCTTAGTTTTTAAAAATGTTTTCTATATTTTAAGACACATTAGAAAATAAACTAATTATCTTCTGCATCTTGCATTTCATTATATTTTGGACCAACGCACACTTTGAGAACCATGGAGAATATCCATCTCCCTCTTTTAGAAGAGGCCAAGCATTCCTATATAGATGATACTTTTTAAAGACCCTAGAAAAAATCAATAGGACAATCAGTAATTTTTTTTCTTCCTTAGGAAAAAAAAGTGTTTCCACCCCATTCCATTGCCAAGAAGAGCCTTGTGACTTAGATTAATCTGCCTCCCTTTCTGTGATGTTTAGTCCACTGGTAAAACTCCCAGAGTCAACTTCAAAGAAAGTTGAGATCCATACCTATTTTGCTGTCTGTTTCTGAGTTTCTTCACCCCTTGTTTCGGAGTTTTCCAATCTGTTACTATAGAACTCAGTCCTGTCCCTTTTGTTGACAGGTTGCCAGGATACATCCTGGCAACAAAGGCTGGGGTTCCTGTTCCAGGCAGCCAGCCTCACATACTACATGAACTCTTGCAAGAGGGGATGTGAATCGTGGAGCTCCCAGCTAGTCTGCTCCTGTTTCCACCAGCTCCCTCACTGAGGGGTTCAGCAGGCCATGACAAAAGCCAAAATAGAAAGATGAAGAAAAAATGATACAAGGTGAGTCTCCCAGAAGGTGTTCTTTCTTGGTTGTCTGTCTCAAATCTTACCTTTCAACTAGCAATAATAATCTTGATCTCTTCCACTTCCTTCTCACCACTATGTAGTAATATTTCCTTGCTATAGAAAAGGAATCCAAAGAAAAGTAACCAATTCTTAAGTTAAAAAAAACCCTCAAATACTACTTAACAAATGAACAAATATTGTTTTACTTCATTGGATGATTCTGACAATAATTGAACTATGGATTAAATGTTTTAATGGCTAAAAGAATCAAATTCCATTTAAAGGGATGATTTTTAAAATTTTCTTAAGAAAAGTTGATAAAATATGTTTTTAACATAAATTCAGAATTATATGTTTATAAACCAGATTATCCATGAAAGAAAAGGGGTGATAAAGGCTATAGTTACTCAGTTGACTTGGTAGTTTTTTTTTAATTGAGATAAAATTCACATGGAGTGAAATATAACTGATCTTAAGTTTAAATTCAAGTTCCTAAAAAAATAATGAATTTGATATATATATACAACCATGTAAACCATCACCTTAATCAAGACATAGGACATTTCTATCACTCAGAAAGTTTCCTCACATCCCTTCCAGTCAGTCTCCCCTCCTTAGGCAACCACTGTTCTGATTTCTATTACTAGAGAATAATTTGGCCGTTCATGAATTCTATATGAGTAGAATCATACAGTATGTATTCTTGTATCTGACTTCATTGGCTCAGCAGAATGTTTTTGAGATTGTTCCTGTTGCTGTGTATATAAGTAGTTCAGTTCCTTTTATAGGTGAGTATTAATGCAGTATAGAATTATTCCACATCTGTTTATCTATTTTCCTATTGATTGATATTTGGTTTGTTTCCAGTTTGGGTCTCCTATAACTAAAGTTGATTTAAACATTCTTGCACAAGTCTTTTGGTGGACATATGTTTTCATTTATCTTGGGTTCAGACCTAGGACTAAAACTGATGGATGATAGGGTAGACATATGTTTATCTTTATAAGGAGCATGAAATGATATGTCATTGTGGTTATAATTTGCATTTCCTTCATGACTAATGAAGTTAAGCATTTTTACACAAGCTTGTTGGAGATTTGCATCTCTTTTTTGTTAAGTATCTATTCATATTTCTTGCCCGTTTTAAATGTGTTTTTATTTTTATATCATCTTTATTGATACATAATTCACATACAATAAAATGCACCCATTTTAAGTACACAATCTGATGAGTTTTGCAAGTGATTACATCCATTTTACCACCAATGATAAAATATAAGAATATGTCCATTAACTTTGTATTTCATTCTCTACCCACCTACCCACCAAGTAATCACTGATCTACTTTCTGTCACAGATTAGCTTTGCCTGTTTAGAATTTCATATAAATGAAATAATTCAGTATATTCTCTTTTGCATATGATTTCTTTTATTCAGTATAATATGTTTGAAAGAGATCTATGTCATTGTGTGTAATTTGTTCATTTTTATTGTGGAGTAATATTCTGTAGTATGAATGTGCCATAATTGGTTTATCCATTTACCTGTTAATGTGTATTTATGTTGTTTCCAGTTTTTCACTGTTAAGAGCTGTTATGAACATTTGTTTTATATTCTATTTGTGGACATATATTTTCATTTCTCTAGGATAATTATTTAGGGATAGAATGTCCATATCATTAGGTAGATATATATTTAACTTTATGAGAAATTACCAGATGGTTCTGCATAGTGGTTGTAATGTTTCACATGCCCACCAGGCATATATGGGAGTTTTGGTTTTTTCACATCCTAACACTTGGTATTGGTAATTTTAAAAATTTTATCCATTCTAGTGTGTGTACAGTGGTATCTCTGTGGTTTTATTTTGCATTTTCTTGACAAACAACAACTAATGATATATACTATTGTTTCATGAGCTTGTTGATATTTTATACGTTTTCTGTTGTGAATAATCTATTCAAAGCTTTTGCCCGAATTAGGCAACCCATATTGGGTTGCTTGCCATATATGTGTCAAATATATGTATTGAAAACATTTCTTCCCAATCTGTGGCTTATCTTTTAATTTTCTTAATGGTATTTTTTAAAGAGTAGAAGTTTCTAATTTATATGAAGTAAAATTTTAAATTCTTTTTCTTTTATGTTTAGTGCTTTTTGTGTTTTGTCTAAGAACTCTTTGAAAATATTGAGGTCATAAAGTATTTTCCTATACTTTCTTCTAGAAGCTTTATAGTTTTAATTTTTATATGTAGTTCTATGATCCACCTCGAGTTAATTTTTGTGTTTGGTGACAGTAGATGGTTGATATTCATTTTTCTGCTACATGAATCCAGTGGTTCCACCATCATTTGTTTAAAAGATTTTCCTCGCTCTATTGAATTGTCTTGGCATCTTTGTCAAAAAAGAATTGATCACATATGTGAATCAGCCATATTTCTGGACTCTATTCGGCTACATTAATCTATTTATTTGTCTTTATTGGCATCATTAATTTTTAATAAGCCAGCTCATCTTGGCTTGCATGCAATGAAACAAATATTCAAAAGAGATATACAAGTTGAGTCCTTCCATGACTGCTTGCCAGTGGAACCACGCACAAGAGTTTTAATAGGGTTGGGCATTCTGTCTTGTATGTTGTCCAAATCTTCACCTAGGCAGTAATCTGACTTTAAGCAATTCTGTAATAAGCAAAAGCCAAAAATATACAGTTATAAATTTAATCAAGAATGATAATCCCAGGAAAAGGGATGTATTTTTCAAACCCATTTACACAGAATGTAGCTTGAACTTAATTTTCATTCGTTCGATAATTTATTGAGTGTCTACTGTATTCCAGACACTGTTCTAGACAAGGAAAGTGGGAGGAAAATATTTCTTTGTTCATAATTTCTGTAAGGAAACAATACTTAATATAATCTCTACTCTATTGCCTGTTTAACAGTGTATGTCTCACAATTACAGAGAAAAGAAACCCTATGCCTGATAAAATAAGCATCAGATTAAAAGTTTTTATGCATTCCTATGAATTGACAGAAAATTATCAGCACTCAAATGTTTAATAAGGAAAAACATTTCCTCAGTCTTTCCAAGTTTGCTATCACCGTCATAAATATACATTTCTTTTGAGCCTGAGAATGTAAGCTATCATTTCTGTCAGTTGCATTTTCCAACTTGTTTTAGAAATTGAATCTTATATATTATTTCTAAGAGAACTTGGTTCACAAACTGGACCTTAATATGGCTGTTTCTTCTCTGGATCTATATAATTTAAATATATATTATTTTATTCTATTTTTTAAAATTTTTAAATTTAATTTAATTTTATTTTTATACAGCAGGTTCTTATTAGTCATCAATTTTATACACATCAGTGTATACATGTCAATTCCAATCACCCAATTCATCACTCCACCATCCCCACACCCCGTGGTTTTCCCCCCTTTGTGTCCATACGTTTGTTTTCTACATCTGTATCTCAACTTCTGCCCTGCAAACCGGTTTATCTGTACCTTTTTTCTAGGTTCCACACACATGTGTTAATATACGATATTTGTTTTTCTCTTTCTGACTTACTTCACTCTGTATGACCGTCTCTAGATACATCCACGTCTCAACAAATGACCCAATTTGGTTCCTTTTTATGGCTGAGTAATATTCCATTGTGTATATGTACCACAACTTCTTTATCCATTCGTCTGTTGATGGGCATTTTGGTAGCTTCCATGACCTGGCTATTGTAAATAGTGCTGCAATGAACATTGGGGTGCATGTGTCTTTTTGAATTATGGTTTTCTCTGGGTATATGCCCAGTAGTGGGATTGCTGGATCATATGGTAATTCTATTTTTAGTTTTTTAAGGAACCTCCATACTGTTCTCCATAGTGTCTGTATCAATTTACATTCCCACCAACAGTGCAAGAGGGTCCTCTTTTCTCCACACCCTCTCCAGCATTTGTTGTTTGTAGATTTTCTGATGATGCCCATTCTAGCTGGTGTGAGGTGATACCTCATTTAGTTTTAATTTTCATTTCTCTAATAATTACTGATGTTGGGCAGCTTTTCATGTGCTTCTTGGCCATCTGTATGTCTTCTTTGGAGAAATGTCTATTTAGGTCTGCTGCCCATTTTTGGATTGGATTGTTTGTTTCTTTAATATTGAGCTGCATGAGCTGTTTACATATTTTGGAGATTAATCCTTTGTCTGATGATTCGTTTGTAAATATTTTCTCCCATTCTGAGGGTTGTCTATTCGTCTTGTTTATGGTTTCCTTTGCTGTGCAAAAGCTTTGAAGTTTCATTAGGTCCCATTTGTTTATTTTTGTTTTTATTTCCATTACTCTAGGAGGTGGGTCAAAAAGGATCTTGCTGTGATTTATGTCATAGAGTGTTCTTCCTATGTTTTCCTCTAAGAGTTTTATAGTGTCCAGTCTTATATTTAGGTCTCGAATCCATTTTGAGTTTATTGTTGTGTATGGTATTAGGGAGTGTTCTAATTTTATTCTTTTACATGTAGCTGTCCAGTTTTCCCAGGACCACTTATTGAAGAGACTGTCTTTTCTCCCTTGTATATCCTTGCCTCCTTTGTCATAGATTAGTTGACCATAGGTGTGTGGGTTTATCTCTGGGCTTTCTATCTTGATCCATTGATCTATGTTTCTGTTTTTGTGCCAGTACTATATTGTCTTGATTACTGTGGCCTTGTAGTATACTCTGAAGTCAGGGAGTCTGATTCCTCCTGCTCCATTTTTTTCCCTCAAGACTGCTTTGGCTATTCGGAGTCTTTTGTGTCTTCATACAAATTTTAAGATTTTTTGTTCTAGTTCCGTAAAAAATGCCATTGGTAATTTGATAGGGATTGCATTGAATCTGTAGATTGCTTTGGGTAGTATAGTCATTTTCACAATATTGATTCTTCCAATCCAAGAAAATGGTATATCTCTCCATCTGTTTTTATCATCTTTAATTTCTTTCATCAGTGTCTTATAGTTTTCT